CTAAGGAAGCAGTTAGATTACCTGTTAGAGAAGCAGTTTATCCGACCGAGCTCGTCACCGTTCGCCGCATTGATACTGTTCACACCAAAAAAAGACGGAGGGTTTCGCATGTGCATCGACTACCGAGCGCTTAACAGAGTAACAGTCAAATCGCGATACCCCATCCCCCGCGCCGACGAACTGATCGACCAGCTGCGAACAGCACGAGTATTTTCGAAAATTGACTTACGGGGAGGTTACCATCAGATTCGGGTCGAACCATCGGACTGCGCCAAGACAACATTTAGGACTAGATACGGGTCATTCGAGTACACAGTGATGCCTTTCGGGCTGACCAACGCGCCTGCAACATTTCAGATAACCATGAACGAGGCGTTTAGGCCACTTTTAGATAAATGCGTGATAGTTTACCTCGACGACATCCTCGTTTACAGTCGGGACAAGCAGCAGCACTTAGTAGATCTCGAAGCAGTTTTTAAGGTTTTAGAGGAACATCGGTTACTCACCAAGGGCTCCAAGTGCGAGTTTTTTCGGGACAGACTAGAGTTTTTAGGACACGTTATTTCGGAGGCTGGGGTAGAAATCGACCCTAAGAAGCTGGATACGGTCAAAGCGTGGCATCCCCCGACGAACATCACGGAACTGCAAAGTTTTTAGGGGTTTGTTAATTACGTTCGTCGGTTCGTCCCCGACATGGCACGCTTAACCGCCCCGCTCACTGATTTATTGCGTAAGGGGGTCCCTTTTACGTGGGGGGAGAAAGAGCATGCTGCCTTCTCTGCCCTAAAAACTGTTCTCTGTTCACCACCCGTCCTACGCATCGCCGACCCACACCGCCCCTTCGAAGTTGTTACCGACGCGAGCGACATCGCCATCGGAGCTATACTGTTACAGGACTTCGGCAACGGCCTCCAACCCATCGCTTACGAATCACGCAAGCTACATCCACCTGAGCGAAATTACCCGATACACGACCGCGAAATGCTTGCGATCGTGCATGCATTCAAAGTTTGGCGCTGCTACTTGACCGGCGCAGACGTGACAGTACGGACAGACCATCGATCACTACAGTACCTTCGAGCACAGCCCCACCTCAACCCACGACAGATTCGGTGGCTCGATTTTCTCGAGTCGAATTTCCACTATACGGTCACATATAAAAAAGGAGCCTCGAACATCGCCGACGCACTGACCCGCCCCACTGCCCAGATCCATGCGATACTACTCGGCCAGACCAACCCGCTACTGACAGGACTATTTACCCACGGATATCAAACAGACCCATTCTTCACAGGAGGAAATTCGCAGCAATTCGCAGCAGCCAAGGGAGTCTATTACGTAAAAACTGGAACCGACCGCATCTGGGTACCAGGATACACGCTACTACGGGAACTACTGTTATAGGAAGCACACGACGGAGTTACCTCGGGACATTTCGGAGTAGAAAAAAACACGGCATCAGCTGCAGCGGTACTACTACTGGCCGGAAATGTTGACCGGCGTGCAACGACACGTGGCATCGTGTCCCACCTGCCAGCTCATGAAGTCAAGCAGGAAGCGGCCGGCGGGACAATTGCAACCAATCCCACCCCCAGAGCGTGCTTGGCAGCAGGTGACGATGGACTTCGTCACGGGTTTACCGGCTGGGACGAGTGGGAATGACGCGATCCTGGTCGTCGTCGATCGACTAACGAAAATGACACATTTCGCAGCATGCAGGAAATCAATCACAGCCGAGGAAACAGCCCGACTCTTCATCACCACCGTCGTTCGACTGCACGGGATACCAGCGTCAATCATCAGCGACAAGGACACGAAGTTTATTAGTAATTTCTGGCGGAACTTGTGGCAGCAGTTCGGCACGCGACTTCAATTCAGTTCATCCTATCACCCCGAAACCGACGGACAGACAGAACGGACAAACCAGACCATGGAGCAACTGATTCGAGCCACGTGCGACGATCCAAACACGTGGGAGCAGCAGCTGCCTCTCATCGAGTTTGCATACAACAACGCACCATCCGCCACGACACATCAGTCGCCATTTTACTTGAACTACGGACAAGACCCAACAGTACCCATGACACCGAATCCCGACAATCCTATTCCACGCGCACAACAGTTCGCCGAGATTCTGCAAGCAGCACGGACCAGGGCAGCCGAAGCAATAAAAAAATCAAATATCATCGCTAAACGCAACGCCGATCGCCACCGCAGACCCGTCACTTATCAGCCCGACGACCTCGTATTACTCGACACTCAGAACCTCCGCCTGCCCATCACTCCCAAACTCCGCCCTCGATACTGTGGGCCATTTTGAATCAGCCACATGATCACACCTGTCACCGCGCACCTCCTCCTTCCTGCTGACTAGTACGTCAGCCCCTCGTTCCACGTCAGCCTGCTTCGCCCTTACGTACCATCCACCAGCCAGCTCCCACGACATCGACCACCCAGCATGACACGACCACCAACCGAACCAGTCATCACCCCCGACAAAATCTTGAGCCACAGAGTTCGCGACCCTCGAGGAGCCCGAAAAGTTGAGTTCCTGATCCGCTGGAAAGATCGTACACCCACCGAGGACAACTGGGTTCCCCTGGATAAAGTTGAAAACCACCCTGTCGTCACCGACTATCTGCGCAGCCGAAACTTCAAAGACGTCCACACGCTTTCGTAAGGAGGACCTCCTTAGGAGGGGGGGTAGTGTAAGGAAATTCCCTTTTCCTTACTCCGCATCCCTGCTCAACGCGTACATCACTGTAGCACCTCAGTCAGCACCGTTACCACTCGCGACCATCGCATCATTCATCATCCCGCCATTTTCGCACATCGCATCCCGACCTCACGGCTCGGCTGGTAACCCGCGCTCCGGGCCTACGCTTCAACACTTTCACAACCTCAGTCACAGGCTCGTCGCGCGACCATTACCGTTACCACTGTAGTTTCGCTATATATTCTTCGCTCATGCCTTCGCTCATTGTACTCTTGCTTTGATAGTGCAATTCTCGTTCGTTCACTCAATTGCACTCGTAACAAAACGAAATCTAGGCACTTGCCTCAATCCGCGCGACACTCGTGTGTCTGGGGCTTGCAGACCATCGAGTTCCTCCAACTCCTTCTGCTGGAAGAAACCCGACTCTTCCTGTGCTGACTAGGGTAGGTAATGAAACCCGCGACGCCTTGCCAGACACACGAGCCCATAGCGTTATCTGGGCGGGGGAGCCAGCTGGCGTGGGCTCCCTGCGCCAATGCCCCGCGATACCAGCGTCACGCAAGCATGCCCTGACCATACAGCGTCGCTCCCTCTTGCCCGTGGTAGCGACCGCCGTCGTAGTTCCCCCCAGCTACTGGTCGGCTGACTGAAAACCTGTCCACCTGGCACACGTCGTGACCCTCCCCTGCTACCGCGCCATTGTATCTGTCATGCTTGTTCGGTGGGGATGAACTTGCGACACGAGATACCGACCCGTTTCTGTAACTGGACTGCAAATCGACCCTGCGCTGCGCTTATTTCTCGCCAATCAGAAGCAGGCTGGTGTAACAATTTCCCCGCTGGCGACATTATCTCGAGGGCTCTACAGGTACGAACTTGGACCATCGATTTTACCTCCGTTTCAACGAAACCCTCGTCGCATCTGCTGGTATCTCGCGCGGTCACCGATTTACCCACGCACGTATCTCAGAACCTAGACACAACCGTAGAGGGCCTGAGAGCTGAGATGACCCGTTTTCAAAGCTCGAAATTCGAAGGTTAGCACGCAGCAGCACGAGCGGTTTGAGAACCGCAGAGAACCACTCGAGCTTATGAGCGGTGCGTCCGCGAACCTGGCGACGGATAGATACATTGCTGGTGATGGCTTGGCGACTATAAAAGACACGTTGAAACATACTGATAGTATGTTTCTTAACGTTTTAGATGTGGTGTTAGATCGACCATGGATACAGCCGAAGCGCGCCGGTTTAATAGACCTGGTAGAGGGACAAATAACCGGTACTCATCCGTGTTGGCCTCAGTTCGTGCTCTAGGAGAAGGGGACCGTGAAGAATCTGTGCAGGCAACGGCAGCGACAACAACCAGCAATGGTAAGCACTATCCAAGACGTTTCAGTTAGTACAAGTAAGCTGATTTCCGCGAGAGTTTGGTTTGTTGTACGTCAATAGCCTACGGTGCTGGATACTAAGCATGTGTGTTTTGATGATGTGCAGGCAAGAGAACCCTTCCACTCAACCAGCTGTCCATGGGAGGACTTCACAACCCGGCGAGTACAACTGGGACGACTGGGGGCCGCCGGACGGGTCCTCGCCGCACGACGATTCGCAGAGGCTCGAATCAACAGCAGCTGCGGGCCAACTCTGCTCGCGCCACGCCAACATCTAGACAGCAGCAGCAGCAGCAGCAGCAGCGGAACTCTGCTCGCGTCACCCCAACCATTGGACAGCAGCAGCAGCAGCAGCAGCTGCGGAACTCTTCTCGTGCCACCCCAACCACCGGACAGCAGCAGCAGCTGCAGACCACCACTGGTCTGCCTACCTCACCGTATGGGCAGCAGGAGCAGCAGTAGCAGTAGCAGCAGCAGCGGAACTCTCCTCGTGCCACGCCAACCACTGGACTGCAGCTGCAGCAGCTGCCCAACTATTCTCGCGTCACCCCAACCATTGGACATCAGCAGCAGCAATTGCAGACCACCACGGGTCTGCAAACCTCGACTAATGGACTGCAGGAGCAGCAGCACCAGCCCGCCACGGATCTGCATGCCTCACCGTATGGGCAGCAGCAGCAGCAGCAGCAGCCCACCACGGATCTCCATGCCTCACCGTATGGGCAGCAGCAGCAGCAGCAGCCCGCCACGGATCAGCATGCCTCACCGTATGGGCAGCAGCAGCAGCAGCAGCCCGCCACAGATCTGCATGCCTCACCGTATGGTCAGCAGCAGCAGCTTCCCGCGGATGTGCCATCTTCGCCGCATGTGCAGCAGCAGCATTAACAGCAGGCACCGATGCAACCCGAGGATCTGCATACCCCTTCTACTGGGCATGGGGATGACGGCGCCCCGACTGACTACATGCAGCCCCTAGACCCTGAAGCTTTTCCGGAGATGGAACCTCAGGTACCTGAGCCTGGTTACGAGGGGCTAGATGAGTATAGTGATGCCGATGGGGAAGCGGGACAAGGAGTGGACCTTATCTCCCGGGAAGAGTTCGATGCTGCTCAGGCTGAGGCACGTGAGCTGCGCCGCCGCCTTATGGAAGCTGAAAATGAGAACCGTTGCCTGTTGCACGGTGTTGCTAACCATACCAGCGAAGACGCTCCGGACGAAGCGAGCAATCCTGGCAACTTCTCAGGTGATGCTGATGCTCACGGTATGGGAGCGGCTGGTCCTAATGCTGCAGCGGCTGCAAGTGGTGCTGCAGCGGCTGGAAGTGGTGCTGCAGCGGCTGGTCCGAGCGCGCCTACTCCTAATGGCGTGGCAGGAAACACGCTATAGGCGTCGTTCCCGAGAACTCTACTCGTGGAACCGAATCGGGTGGCTATCGTAAATGCGGTCAGGACGGCCCACAGCCGGGGAACTATTTTGGACTTGCAGCAACTGTCGAGCATGTAGCGGACGTGGGCGCATCGGTACGCTGACGCGTTGGCCAGCATGCCAGATATCCACAATGGGTTCAAGGTAATGTCCCAACCATGTTCCACTCCCCACCCAGTGCATGACATCCTACTTCCATACCGTTTGTATGGTCCTTGGCGCAGGCAACGGACTTCCAGTGCTGTTTTCACCCATTGGGACCCACCATTGACTCCATACCCATGTCAGACCGCCCATTTGCAGGTTATTACATGCGCCATTTCTGCTGCCCTGCTGTGTATTTCACAGCAGGGGGCAGTGCGTTGTTATCCCCCAAGTAATCCCTCTAACCACCTATCACCACCCATGTTCCCGTGTCAGGGGGCCGCGACTCGAGCTGTGGAGATCCTTTACTTCAAAACTTCGGATGTGGACCTGGAGTATTGGACGACGCGTGACACCAACATCACCGCCCTTTGCACGGCTCTAAACATCACAGATCCTGAGGGAGTGGCTAACCTGCGCCTGGTCATGGAGAACGAAACGGCTCGGCCTAGGCACCTTCGAAAGAAGCTTCAGGATGCGAGGAACAAGACCCTCACCACGGGCCGTGTCTTGTAGTACGAAAGATTCGACATTCGCATCAAACGTCCGGACCGCAACCCGGTCGAGACCGGAACGCTGTCGCCTGCGGCGTTCTGTGCCTCCTACCTTGCTAGTAAGATGATGGCTACACCATTCGCCAACAGACCGCTCAAACCCTGGCGAGCAGATGGCAGTTAGGCTGTCATTGCATCTCTTTTTTCCCGTTGACTCTTACCTTGCATCTTCCAATACCATTTTCCCCAGCCCACCATCCCCATGCAGGCAGCCCGGTGCACTGCTGTGGGCGTGGGATGCAAGGCGGCGTGCCTTTAGTTAAACTCCCCTCCCACCAATTGATCCCCACCCAATTCCCACTGCCTGTGCTCACCATCCCCATGCAGGCAGCCCGGTGCACTGCTGTGGGCGTGGGATGCAAGGCGGCGTGCCTTTAGTTAAACTCCCCTCCCACCAATTGATCCCCACCCAATTCCCACTGCCTGTGCTCACCATCCCCATGCAGGCAGCCCGGTGCACTGCTGTGGGCGTGGGATGCTAGGTGGAGTAAACCCCCCTCCCACAACTGGATCCCACCCCTTTGTGCTCACTACCTGTGCTCACCGTATGCTGCAGGCAGCTTGTTGCATTGTTGTGGGCGTGGGATGCAAGGCCAGAATGATTCAAAAACTCCCCTCCCACCACTTGATTCCCCACCCACCGCCCACATGCCTGTGCTCACCATCCCCCCCGCAGGCAGCCCGCTGCACTGCTGTGGGCGTGGGATGCAATGAACATTCAATTGATTTCACAACTCTCTCCCATCTTGACCTCATCACCCACACCCGTCCAACCTTCCGCACCCTACAGGTGCTCTTTCGTGGGACTTGTTGACGTGGCATCATAATCGACTGGGGATGCCTTTCGCCTCTGACTTTTTCACCCTTGCGATTTTCCACTCGTTTGAGAGGCCAGGGCATGCCATCTTAGTCCTCCGTTTCAAGCAGATCGCCTTCTTCCTGCTAGGGGTATGTAAATTTTTGAAGCATGCATGAGAATGTTTGCCATTTCTGTCGTTGCTCTAAGGATCCCCTTATTGGTGCTGCAGGTTGAGTACAAGCTCCTGAAGAACGAAGAGATGTCGCGCAGCTCAGTTGACAACAAGCGTGCTCTTGCGATCTACCATTCCAACGTGCACAACGCCGTTGCTTTTGCTGTTCAGAACCGGACTCCTGCGACGGGTCCTTGGTGGCAGCCTGAGTACAAAGCGTGGAAGTTTAACGAGGCAACGAAGAGGGTCTTCATCAGTTGCGAGGGGCTGCCGGGATTGCAGGGCCCCTAATGTTAAGACGGTTGCAGTGTATGAGTGCCTAACGCGTAGAGTGCAAGTGTGTGTGTCGGCCCAACTCTAGGTAGTTTGCTGTAGTTTATGTGAGTGTGCTTTTGTGCACGTGTTTTTAGATTCTGCTAATTGATGTTTTTAGACCTAGTTTGTAATTTGCTTTTAATAATATCTAACTACCAATAAACATTATCATTAGTATATAATTCCTAATACCAGTTCATAGTAATACAAAATGATTATTTCATTTGTAGGTTATGATTTACATTTTGATATATGCCTATATGGAAGTGCACTAACTGTCAAATGTAACGCGCCAAGTAACAACGTAACTGTTACGAATTGTGGTAAGTTATTCACCACTACTTTCTTGCCAAAGTGGCGTTCGTCTGAACGTCCACGTGACCATGTACATTCCGAAATGTGTGGAGCAGACTCTCAATTTTCGAACACCTGTCGAATATAGGACGGCTGAGATAACGCGAGGGATTTGACATCATCTGACATGAGCTATTCTCTCCCAAACCCAACACCAATAACAAAACGCCAGAGCCGACTGACACTATTACGCGCGAAATGCTGTGATTAGGCGCGGCCATCAACCTACATTGATTTCGACCAATGAAAACGATCGCAATCACTGTTGATAGAAATCACGAACAAATGAAATGCGACGAAGCCGTTCGCTCATGCTGAGTTACACCTTCTCGTGAGACTTCCCAACTGATCGGGCCTATTGCCGATAACACATTCGTTCCAACCTGCAAGTAACTTTCCAGAAGGTTTACGTTCGGGAGGCCCCAAGCCTTGCATCCCGTGATTCAGTATGTTCGCCAGTAACTACAGAGCTGATTTCTCAACACCAACCACAAAGTAACTACCAATTAGCTTTGAAGTAGGTTTAGCTTCCATGCATTTTTGGGATGTTCAGGCTCATCATACCAACAACTCAACATCAGTCATTTTTGCAAGGACAACAACAGTTCTCAAGGCTACTCCATGGAAATCGTCGACACTATCTTTATGCAGCGACAACAGAGATTTCGCCAACCCGCGTTAACCCCAATGGAAGCATTTCCCAAGAACCACATTCTAACAAAGCAGGCAGTTCTCAAGGCACGGAGAGTTACGCCAGACCCTCTGCTTCCACACATGGTCTGGATCTGCAGCGATTTGCGTTCAAACACAAGAAGCATAAGAGCAAGGCGGTGAATGCGCTCAGACCAGATTGTTTATCAGCCAACTTTGGGCTGTCAAGTCTGCATCATCATCGCACTATGGGACAAGGACGCAAAGGCAACAAGGCTAAGAAAACCACAGACAAGGCTCAGGGAATGGACGTACCTGACATACCTGTGAAGGAGCCTGCTGATAACGCGAAGTCTCCGACCAGTCCTGTCCCAACGACAAGGACCGGGCCCTTTGAAGCCTTTCCGGAGCTGCCGGAGAATGTTGACCAAGATGCTGACGCAAGTCGTGTGAACACTAACGAGGAAGATGATGAGATTCACTCTACAACGGCAGTGAGCTAGACTACAGGGTTGGCACGAACTACTAGAGGTGATCTCAGCTTTGCTTGGTTCCTTAGTGCTTGCACATTCACAGGCGAAATTGGCAAGATTTTCCACTAGCAAAGTTGGAATTACAGAATTGAATAAAAGAAGCAATGACAATAATGACTACATCAGGCACCTAGCAACCCTGCAGCTAGCCTGGTCGACTGCCAGCGCAGCTCGGTCGACCGCCTGCCAGCATTGCGTAGAGGAGCCGCGCCAGCACTGCAGAAGGGCGACCTGCCAACAAAGCAAGTCGACGGCGTGCCCCGTAGAACACAGCAGTGCGCGCGCTCGCAGGTGTGCGCAGACAATTGGTCTGACTTGCCTCGTTGGGCATCCGTCGGCTGTTGTCTGCGCCTGACGAGCCACATCGACTTCAGGATACCAGCCCGAAGTCGCCTGCGCCATCGCGATCTCGACGGCATTCGCGTGCCTCCGCAGAACTCGTCGAGCAGGTTACCCGGTCGACCTGGTCGACCCCTGGTGCTCTGGTCGACTCCCAGGTGCCTCCCGTCGACCACTGGGTCTCTCTGGTCGACCACCGGATGCTCCTGGTCGACCACACCTCCCGTCAAGCTACCTCTTGGTCGACGGACCCCTTCCGTCGACCAGAACTGCTCCGTCGACCTCCCGGTCGAACTGCAGTTCGACGGGATGCTCCGTAGACCTCCCCGTCAAACTGTAGGTCGACGGACTGCTTCGTTGACCTCCCGGACGGCTCACCCGTCGCCCAGGCCAGTCAGTTGCAGCTGTCGAGCATCCTGGTCGACAGCAACACCACAGCGGTCCGCTGCCGCTCGACGTAACCTGTCGAGCAGCTATCCCACTGTGAACAGTCAGCTGCTACTCCCGTGCATCCGACCAAGTTGTCGGCGTTGCCCAAGCGAGGGCGGGGCCAACACTCCATTCCCGTTAACACTCCCCTGCCGCGCTCACGCTTGGGCCTCCAGCCCACACGGCAGTACTCCACGCAGAAAGCTCGTCCTCGGCGTGCACCCCATACACAGCACGCCGTCACCGCACCAGCCGTGCAGAAGGGCACGGCACCTACTGCTGCACCTCGTCATCGCCGTCGCCGACGTCCACCAGGCGAACTTGGCCGATGGCGACAGAGCACCGGTTGAAAGCCGGAAAATGCAGCGCCTTCGTCAGGAAATCCGCCGGCTGCTCGGTGGTAGGGATGTAGTTCAGCACAAATTTCCCGCGCCTCACCATGTGCTGCAGCCAGGCGTAGCGTCGCTCCATGTGCTTGAGGTTGCCCGTCAGCCCCAAGCCCTCAGCGACCATGATTGCCGACTTGTTGTCGACGCGGAGGATGGTCGGCTTCCCAGCGTCGAGCAGCTTGAATTCCGCAAGGAGGAAGCGAAGTCGACGCCCCTCCTTGCCGGCATCCGTGGCCGCCACGTACTCCGACTCGGTCGATGATAATGTCGCGCACTTGATGCGCGAGCTCGACCAGGAGACGGCGGCCCCTCCGTAGACGAACACGTAGCCTCCCGTGCTCGTCCGGTTCTGCTTGTCGCCCGCGTCGTCGGCGTCGACGTAGCCGATCAGCTCCAACGATTCTGGTCCACCGCCGAACTCCAGGGCGGTGTCGCGGGTGTCGGCGAGGAAGGCGAGGCAACGGTCGACCTCACGCCAATGCTGGTCGCTCCTCACCGTGAGGCCGCTCCCCAGCTTGCTGCAGGCGAACGCAATGTCCGGCCTCGTCGTCGTCGCCGCGAACTGCAGCGAGCCGACCTTCTGGCGGTACTCCTCCTCTTCGCGCTCCTGAGCCTCCTCGTCGTCGAACGTCAGATGAACGTAGGCGTCGACCGAGACCGGCGGCTTCGGGACTCGACCGCCTAGCTCCTCGTCGACGAAGCGCCTGCGCAGCTTGTCGGCGTAGCCCTGCTGGTGCAGCCACAACTTCCTGGCCGGCCTGTCGCGCACGATCTCCAGCCCAAGGTACTTTTCCACCGGCGAGATCTCACGCAGCTCGAAGGCGGCCTCCAGCAGCTCCTTCAGCTCCTTCAGCATCGCGGTGCTGCTGCTAGCGGCGAGCAGGTCGTCGACGTAGACCAAGACCCAGCAGGTCACACCGTCATTGCCGGTCTTGAAGTAGAGCGCCTCGTCGACCTGGCTCTTCTTCTAGCCAGCGCCCAGCAGCACACCGTCAAGAGCCCTTTACCACAGCAGCGGCGACTGCTTCAGCCCGTAGAGGCTTTTCAGCAGCTTACACACCCGGCCGGTCCCGTCGTCGAAGTAGTCCGGCTGGTACATGTAGAGCACTCTGTCGAGCTTGCTCTGCAGGAAAGCGTTCTTCATGTCGAGCTGCATCAGGTTGAGGTCGAGGACGGCGACTATGCTGAGGAAGATCCTCAGCGTGACGTAGCTGCTCACCGGCGAGTACGTCTCGTCGTAGTCGGCGCCGTACACCTGCGTGAAGCCCTTTACGACCAGCCTCGCCTTCTCGCGCTCGACAGTGTCGTCGATGCGGTACTTGGTCGTCAGCACCCATCGGTTCTTCATAATGTTCACCCCGCGTGGGCGTTCGACCAGCTCCCAAGTCCCCATAGCG